CTTTTAAATTAACAATTAATTGGATCGATGAAATTCAACACACACCATGAGTTATTGAGCGGAATAACTTTACCAAGAGTTATTTTGTAAGTTATCTTAAATCAAACATATAAAATTCAAAAAATGTATTTATCCTTGTTTTATTTTTTAATTATCAACCATTAATAAAATACTAACTTAAAATCTTATCTAATAATATCATAATATTTTCATATCAAATTTAAAACCAGTTCTTACATTTTCGACAAATATAAATTTGTCTGAAATATTTCATCAATAATATAGCTTTTCCAAAAAAAATTTTCTCATCGAAAATATAAATTTTTCAACAGATTTAATTTTGTTTTATAAGAAATCATCTTCGATTAATATAACATTTTGTATATATGATTTAAGAGTAAAATATTTTTAATTTAACGGTTGAATTTACAAAATTCACATTTAATATAAAGTTATACGTCATCTTGTAACTGATTTTGTCTAAAAAATAATAGATAATCATACCCTTAACTGATTTTTATTTTATATATTCTAATTTTATTTGTAATAATATGATTATATATTTAAATAGTTTAATTTTAATAATTTTTTAAGTATATTTTTGTCATTTCACTTAAAATATTTGAATTTCTATATTTTAATTTGAATTATTTTTTAAGTATATTTTTGTCTTTTTGTCTTAAATTTTTGAATTTCTATATTGTAATTTTAATAATTTTTTATTTCTATTATTTATTAATTCTTTTCTTTTTTAATGTTTTATAACATTAATAAAATTTTATAATTTTAATCTCTATAATTTTATCTACTTTTTATTTTATAAATATAATTTGGATTATTCATTTTATAATTAAATTAATTTTTTTAAATTTTTTATGAGTTTACATTCTAAGAATGTATTGAAACCCCTCGATCTTTAATTTTACTGATCGTACTATATGTTATTTTTAAATTTAAACTCCTAAATTTTATTTGTATGAATGAACTTGTTTTGATTTACATAATTATGATTGATTTAATATCTTTAAATAGGATAATTATTTAATACAATTTTGAATTTTTAAAAAAATAATTTTTCAAAGAATTTCCTATGGATTTCCCCTTATTTAATTAATAACGTTATTTTCAAAGAGATGAGTGATTTTTAAAAATTAAAGAAAAAATATGTTATTCTTAAATTTGGACGTCATGTGTTGGTATTTTTCAAGATAAATAAAAAAAATACATTTACGTTAATTAGTTTATAATTTATAATAACCTAATTAAACATATAATTATATATAGGTAAGTCATACCTCACTCACTCTGATTTATATTTATCTTATTCATTACAATATATTTATATTTTGAAAACACCCATATAATAATGAAAATATTATATAGTGCATTGTTGTGTGTATCGATGGGATCAGGATTGCTTGCATTTGAAAAATAATTGGCTTATATTTTATTTAATAATTTCATACGGATTTAAATCCGTGGGAAATTCCGTCAGAAATTTCAGACGGATTTAAATCCGTCGGAAATTCCATCAGTTAAAATTCCGTCGCAAATTTTCGACGGATCTAAATCCGAGGGAAATTTCCGGTGGATTTTTGTCCGTGAGAAATTATCCGTCGGAAATTTAACTTTTTCTTATAGTGTTTTAACAGATTTTAAAAGTACTTTTAAGATCGGTTATTTTATGACCGATCTTAAAAGGTATGTCTAACACAACTTTTAAGATCGATTACAAAAGAACCGATCTTAAAAGTACTTTTCAAATCGGTTATTTTATGACCGATTTTAAAAGTGCTACTTTTAAAATCGATTATTTAAGAACCGATTTTAAAAGTGCTACGTTTAAAATCGGTTATTTAAGAACCGATTTTGTATGTATATATAAAATCGGTTATTTAAAATTTTAAAAGTATCGTCAGAAACCTTTTATATTTCCCTCTATTCTCATTATCTTTGATCTTTCGACTATTCCTTTTTTTACTCTCTCGCGCTCTCATTTTTTAAAGTCTCCCATAAGGTAAATTTCGTTGTCGTTTTCATTTTCATCTTCTCATGCTCTTCTCGTGTCTCTAGTTTCACTATAGGTACATTTTGGGTAAATTTTGAATATGGAACAACCCGTTCTGCTAGGAGAATCAGAACGGACCATTCTGGATTGGTTTTAACTCATACTAAACTATGCTAGAACGACCCGTTCCAAACTATAATTTTAGGCCTTTTTAACAAACTGGAATGGGCCCGTTCCAGTTTAATTTTTACAAAGCCAAGACTTTTAAGATCGGTTATAAAACAACCGTTCTTGAAAGTTAACTTTTAAAATTGGTTATTTAACCAATTTTAAAAGTCTAACTTTTAAAATCAGTTAAGGAACCGATTTTAAAAGTTTAAAATAACCGATTTAAAATTTTTTTTTTCCACTAGTGACTTTCGGGAAAGCTAGAAGAAGAAAGAAGAATTTCAAAATTCTAGAGTGTCTCTTTTTATATACTCAGCAAACTTTATATACTTCTTATATCAGAAAACTTTATATACTTTTTTGGACTAGTCAACTATAAGCAAACTTTATATACTTCTTATATACTCAGAAAACTTTATATACTTTTTTGGACTAGTCAACTATAATCTCTACTCAGATTAACTCTTTAGATAACATAACTCATTAAGATTCTTAAATCTTTAGAGTTCTGTAATAACTAATCAACTAAACGGCACAACATATAATTTAATAAAACAACAATTAATAATAAAATTCATAGTATTACATACTTATATGAGAAGTTTTTTTTTTTTTTAAATCAGCTTATAAAACTTACTTTTAACTTGTGAATAATGATAAAAACTCAATTCATTTTACTTTCTTATTTACTTCTCCATTTATGCATATGAAAAAAATATTTAAATAAGATTAAAAAATGAAATAATTAGTCTTTCTTGAGATAACCATCATAATATTAATTTTTAAGATCACGCGATTAATTTGATAGTTGAATTGGTTTTCAGTTCTTTTATAATTATAAAATAGAAAAAAATCTGTACCTGTCTGATGGGCACACTAAGTCTTCTAGTAGTCCAAAGGCCGAACGAGAGCTCCGATCCAATACGCTGGTGAAGGGGTTGGTACCTGCAAAAGGCACTCCAACGCTCAAGTCAGGACAAGGAGGAATATCTAGGGTAATTAATGAACAATGACGTTACCTATTGACCTGAGCTATTTATACTGACATTTATGGACCCTGGACCCCATGGGTCCTGCAACATATTTACCGTATTAGGTAATACACCTTAATCGACTAATTAACCCCTAATCTTTGATTAAGAGTACCAAATGATGATAGGCCGATCCTGGTGGCCGATTGACGTTCGGCTTCCTGGTTCTGCCATTTGGCGGCTGATAGGGTGGTGGCCGAACCCCCCTACCTGTACAAAATCAATTAAAAAAATAAACTCAAACAAGTTCACTAGTATCCGTTCATATTCAATTTTGACTTTTAAAAAAAAAAGATTTTTTCTTTACCAAACTTCTAAGTTATCAAGATTTGTGACTTGACCAAAATCCAGTTTAACCAGTCGACTTAGCAATTCGATTTGGTTTTTAAAACTACTCATCATTAGCAAGTATGCCAACACAAGCTATTGGGTTATATATTAAAACATAATACGATTAAATATTCTTCACTTGTATAAATTAAATATTATTGCTTTTTAACATAGTACATAATATTATATACACTTGCTATGGAGCTACAAGAAAGTGGTTACGCGGAGTCAACATTTTCCAAGCATGGCCACAGAGGAATGTCATCCTCAATACCTGGCTTTGTGATCTTATCTTTGACTTTAATTTCTAAGGGTTTAAGATTCTCACTAAAGACACTAACCAAAACAATTTGTATACCCTTTTGTTGGTCCAACCCTCTTCCTTCTTCATTTTCTTTCTATTACTTTTGTACAATTTATTTAAGAATTTTTAAAAAAATATTATCATAATTTTAAGATAAAAAACTAAAACTAAAAATTATAATGCGAGAAGCAACACAACCATCAAATTAAAGCAAGGAAATGGTATTTTGATATATAGTAACAACTTATTTTAAAATTGAGTCAACCGCTGATCTCTAAATGATATATGTGACATCATTTTAATATTTTTGTTAACATCAGTTTTAAGGGTTGGGTTAAAGATAAATAAAAAGGGGGGGGGGGGGAAG